CATAGAGTCAAAAAATCATGGAGGAAATATTTTCTCAAGTTGACTTTAGAATGAATGGAATTTGTTGCTCCATAAAAATCAAGTTCTCTATATTTAATTTAAAAGAGCATAAATCTTTGAAGAATAGACTTAGCTCGATCAAGGGCTTTAAAATTTGATCTGGCAGATAACTAAAAGTAATTGGTAGTAGACATTGCATGAAGATGTGACAATCATGACTTTCAATCCAAATAATCTCCCTAATCTTATGTCAACAGACCTACTTAGATTGGAAGAATATCCATCAGGTACTCGTAGGGTCTTCACCCATTCACAAATTACTCGTTTTTGCTCGAAAGTTAATGTGAATGGAGCTTTTGGTTTGAGAAATTTTTCACCTCCACCATCCTTCAATTCCAAAGCTTTTCTCGTACAAATCTCCTTTAAGTCCATCCTTGCTTTTATATTATCTTTTGATTTATCTTTGATGTCTATAATTATATTAAAAATTTTATTAAAAATATTTTTCTCTATATTCACCTCCACCATCCTTCAATTCCAAAGCTTCTCTCCTACAAATCTTCTTTAAGTTCATCCTTGCTTTTATATTATCTTTTGATTTATCTTTGATGTCAATAACTATATTAAAAATTTTATTAAAAATATTTTTCTCTATATATATAACATCTAAATTATGTCTAATCAGGTTTGTTCTCCAATATGACAACGACCAAAAAATACTTTTCTTGGCCCAATTATGGTTGAAACCATATCCTGATAATCTAAACTTAGTTATTATTAGAGAATCCATTATGGTGGTCATGAACCTAACTCTTTCAAAAATTTCTTCACTACTTAACCTTAGAGGAGGTTAAAACATCACTATTTTATTTTTAGTAAAGGCTTCTTTATTTCGCCTGAAAGGATGACTTGGAGGTAAAAATGTTCGATGACAATCGAACCAAGTGTTCTTTCTACCATACTTTAAAGTGAATGATTTTGAATGTTTCATAGAATTTGGATCATCTAACTTGCCTGAAGTGTTCCAACCCGAGATCATACCATATATAGGAAAGTCACAAATTATCCAAAGTAATGCTACTCTTAGTGTAAAGTTCTATTTGGTAGAGATATCATATGTACTTACTCCATCTTCGCATAATAAACTTAAATCATCAATTAACGATTATAAGAATATGTCAATCTTGACTTTTGGATTATGTGGCTCTAGAATGATAAGTGTCAGAAACATATAAGGACCAGTCATACACAAATCTGGAGAAAGATTGTCAGGAGTGAGTATCACGGGCCAACATGAGTATGGTGTAGCAGACAGACTGAATGGAGTAAAAACATCTGCGCATAAATCTTATATGACATTTCTTGGTTCTATCACGAATATGGGATTTATACGATCAAAGTGTCTCCAAGCCTCTACTTCTAATGGATGTGTGATAACAACTTCTTGCAAAATGTGATCATTATGCAGAACATCCTACTGACAGGCACATCCTTTATATGTGCAGCAAATCTCATGTATGTATATAGCCATTATAGTCTAAGAATTATTGGTAAGTAGAACATCTACTAACAGACACATCCTTCTACTTCCTTCTATTTCTAGATTTTGGTTTAAACTTGTGCATTGCAATGACAGCATGCAATCTCTGAGAATTTTTTTTTAAAGTATAACATGCATCCATTGACACAATAATCTATATTTGTGTATGTCAAACCAAGTTTGGAAACTAACTTCTTTATCTGATATAGATCTATATGAATTAAATTATATATCAGATTGGTTTCCTTAAGTAGCCCAATGAATTGATTAAAATATTCATGAACAACAATATATTCTGCCTTGATGCTTAATATCTTCACACTAGCAGATAACTCTGAGTGAGTGGTGCACCCTTTAGAGATTGGATGTTGGGCAGCATGCAACAAATCATAAAAATTATGTGCGTCCTTATTCGGTAACTCTTCTGTGTTTTGTTAAAATTGTATTCCAGTTGCATCATGAACTAATTCCTCAAGATTTGGTCGGATATTTTTAGCCTCAGCTACATTAGTACTTGTAGAATGACCACATTGATAATTAAAATGTGGCTCGTACTTACCATGAGAAGTCCAATATCAATATCTTGGCATGAATCCTCTGCGATACAGATCAGCAGTTACATCATCTGGTCTTAGGTGCACTAAATTTTTATGTTTAGAACATAAACATCGAAACATTCCATCTGATATGAAGCTGGGTAGTTATTTCACTTGTTGAACAAAAATGTTTACCCCATTAATGAATTCATATGTTAATGTCTTTCATACTTGAGACAATCGATTATACATCCAACTTCTTTGATTTCTAATATCCATAACCTACATATAAGAGCATATAAGTAATGGATCGATTTTCACCTGAGTAGATCTAAAACTAAATATATGGAGATATTAATAGTAGAATTCAAGTGATTGTGAAATAGATGGGGATATGTTGTACTATATCGAGCTTGTTGTGCGGTAGAAAAATCTCCCTCAAACTTAAGGGAAAACCTTTAGACTCTAAGATTGACCTCCATAATTCAAGTTTACCATCAACTCAGTCTCTAGTCTTATCAACAAGAAGAATCACCAGCAAAAAACATACGTCGGTAACTGCGCCGAACCTTTTGTAAATGTCTAGTGAGAGCATCTACGACTAAAGTAAAAAGATATGGACTTAAGGCTTAAAATTGATGTAATCCAACCAAAATAAGAAATTACTTTGTCAAACCACCTTATGTTTTAACACAAGTAATAACTCATGCATATATATTTTGAATAAAGATTTTTTGCTTGAGTAGATCTAAAACTGAATATATGGAGATAATAACAGTAGAATTCAAGTGATGGGGATATTTTGTACTGCATCGGGCTTGTTGTGCGGTAAAAAATTCTCCCTTAAACTTAAGGGAAAACCATTAGACTCTAAGGTTGACCTCCATAATTCAAGTTTACCTTCAACTCCATCTCTAGTCTTATCAACAAAAAGAATATCATCAGCAAAAGCATACGCCGGCAACTGCGCTGGACCTTTTGTAAATTTCTAGTGAGAACATCTACGACTAAAGTAAAAAGATATGGACTTACGGCTTATCCTTGATGTAATCCAACCGAAAAAAGAAATTACTTTGTCAAACCGCCTAGTGTTTTAACACAAGTAATAGCTCATGCATACATAATTTTAATGATTTGACTATAAGCGCTATTAACTCTTTTTTTTTTGCAAGAACTCTCAATAGCACTCCTCTTTGAACTTTATCATATGTTTTCTCTAAATCAACAAAAATCACCTCCTTATCCTCTCTATATTTCTCTATCAAACCTCTCAATAAAAGTATGGCTTCCTTAATAGACCTACCCGGCATGAATCCAAATTGATTTTGAAAAATTTATCAAAAAAAAAAATCTAATATGTGCATCATCTAAAAAATGTCTAATAAAAAATAACATGAAGAAAAAAAATCTTACAATCGACAAAATATGGAGGCGGCGGAAAATCGGGAGGCGGCGAAAACTCATGATCGAATTTTGGGAAACCGGTCTCCTTTCTCTGGCGACGAAGGCGCTGATCGTCGGCGACGTCCCATGAACGTCTACACAGCTCGGCGACGACGGTGCGTGACGCTGGGGCGACGAGAGAGAGACCAGAGATGCGAGAGAAAGACCGGAATGAAATGAGCAGCCAGACGGGTCGTGTTCGAAAATAGGGCTTTCACTGGCGGACTTTCCGGCTTCCCGGATGCCAGAACTTTTTTCGGTGCATGTTTCATCGGTTCCAAGTCGTTGAGTTTAAAATAGCCGACATATTCTCCGTCGGTAAATGCGTCGGACATATTCCGCCGTAAACTCCGCCGGTAATAATGAAAAGCTGCTAATTTCTAACGTTACTACCGGCGCAATGGACATCGGGAAGTTTCCGTCGCAAGATGCGTCTGAATAAACGCCATTAATATTCCTTCGCATTATGCGCCGGTACAAACGTCTTATTTACTGACGTAAAAAATTCCTCCGGAACATCCAACGATATTCACATGTTTTAATTCCTGTAGTGTACGTCACATTCAGAAACTATTTGGTAATTAAAATTAGGGTTTTAACCTTCAAAATGAGCTTTGGTCTTCAATTTGTATTTATTTGGGCTTGAATTGAGTCAAATTTTTTTGTCATTAGGTTCGTATTTTCAAGACGTTCAGTTCGACTGCAAGTTTACAGAAATCGAAGTTTAGATGCTCCCTAATTTTAATTTCGGAATTTTCCGACTTGATTTTGTCTCGAGATTCATGTCTGTTCAAGATAATTTCTTGATGATATATCAAGGCTCATTTGGGCTTGGATCAACTTAATTTGGTGCCATTGGATTTGTTTCCTTGTGATGTTCAATTTGACTTTAAGCTTGCTTGAATAATAATTCAGATGGTCTCAAAATTAATTTTGAATGCTTCTGATTTATACTTACATCGAGATTTGTGTCCGGCCAAGTTTTTTTTGTGACATATCGATATAGAGATTGAGATATGAACATTGTTTTGTATACTTCGTTAAAAATTAGTTTATTTGTATTTAAACTGGTGGTAAGCAAAGACACCCAACCACTCTCCCACACACAATAAGTTTTACTAATATAAGAATAGTGAAATACTCTAACACTGATAAAACTACAGGTTCTAAGACGTTTTGTGTTATTTAAAAGGCATGAATCTTTATTCATGTAATTAAAGACATCACTAGTTTATGCATGCGGTGGTCTTGATTTTTATTTTTATTATATTAGCAAGTTTTGGAAGCTCATTAATGAACTAGAACTCGTGTGAGTGAGCTCAGCTTTTTATCAGTTGAACCAAGCCGAATAATAACCACCCATGCTTTTTCATGATATTCTTTTTTGAATTCAAAACCAGTATGCTTCATTTCGTCCGCATCTCAAATAAATTTTACATTAATTAACTATTAATATTGGAGCTGAGTTACGCATTTCATTTTTTTTTTCTTTTAAATTTTTTGTGTTAGGATGGAAACTTTCCGACTGAAAAGCATTCCGGGGATCGCAAAAGTCACAGGAGTTGTACTATGCATAACTGGAGTAATTTTTGTAGCACTATATAAAGGCCCAAAACTAAAATCCTTAAACTTTCATCACCCATTTCTCCACAGCTGTAACAACAACGACAGTTTAACTGAAAATCGAAATACATGGACTTTAGGATCATTTCTCATGTTCGTAGTTGCAATATTCTGGGCTTTATGGACAGTTTTGCAGGTTTTCATTCTTCCTTACCTCAAAATTCAAATTAATTTGTATATTTTATGTTATGCATCGAGCATAATTACTTGGTGTTATGATTTTTGTAGGGTATGATACTCCGGGAATACCCTTCAAAGCTTCTCTTAGCAACTCTAATATCTGTTTTCAGTGCTTTTCAATCATGTCTTGTCGCTTTCATCTTTGAAAAGAACTTGAAAAAATGGAAGCTGCACTGGGACGAAGGTTTACTTGCAGTGAGCTACAGTGTATACTATATTTACATTTAAAACGATTTTAGTAAACTGTTATGAAATTTTGAAACGTTAGCAATAGTGTTAACTCAGTATAATTTTTGAAATATTTTGAAAATTTTGCAGGGCGTCTTCATTGCTGGACTAGCATTATACTTGCAAAGTTGGTGCAATGATAAAAAGGGCCCACTCTTTGTATCCATGTTCTCTCCTTTGGCTCTTGTTCTCACCATCACTATTGCATCGGTTTTATTGGGAGAGGTAACAAACCTTGGAAGGTAATTGACATAAATTAATGGAGGCATCAAATGTGTTTTGTGGTTGGCTTTGCTTATTTTCGTGGTATTTATTCTTGCTCTTTTGAATCATGTGCAGCGTACTGGGATGCGTTTTTATGGTTGGAGGTCTTTACTGTGTAATCTGGGGGAAGAGTAGAGAACAAAACTCAACTGAATCAGACATAGAGAGAGAGGAAGAGAACCAGAAGACTAGTAATAGATTTAATATTGAAGAAGGGAAATGATGTTATAAGATATTTCCAAAATCAACCACGGTAATTGCATACCTATTGAAGGAAATCGAGGAAATAAATATCGAATTAAACTCTTAATGGCTATTTAAATCGGATGAAAATGTTTGAAATCTTCAACCTTTTTTTATTTCCTTGCTCTTACATTAAAATAATCAAATAGAGCTTAAATGAAGAATGAAAGACATCTCCAAGACCAATGCTATGTAATTCACTACGTAAAGCCGCAATATGGAGGACTTAATGGCTTCACAGGTGACATCAATTATTGTTTTATATTGACAAAATGTTTTTGGCTTTTTTTATCCCAACAAAATTGAGAATTGTTTTAACATAAAGTAGTAAATGGATAACATCTTCCCGGAGGCACTTAGATATGCAAACCAACCTTATAAGGATCTTAATTGACCAAGGCTCTTAGAATGTTTCATTTCTATGATATATTTGGATTTGAAAAGATTAATTTTAATTCCATGATGTACTGAAAGAGTAAATAATTTCATAAAGTTAGAATAAAGGCTAGGTTAGATTGTTCTTTTTTAGTTCATAAAGGCTTAACCGTTCAAAAATGATTACGAAATCATGAAGATGGTGGCCCCTTTTCGACTCTTGACAACCATATCATCAGCATAGCACTCCAATTAATTACAAGAATAATTATAAAAATGTTTGCCAAAAATCTGGGTCATAGCTCATTAATAAGTTGCACTAGTATTCTTTAGTCCAAAAGACAACCTTGTAATACTAAATCCCAATAGGTGTTCTGAACAAAACAATTTTTTTCTATTTTCAAGAGCTAGTAATTCGATTTAAACAAGACAAAGCATTTAAAAGACATATCCACCATGAGCTCTAGTATAGGCAATAGGAACTCATCATTGGAACAAGACTTATTCAAGCCCCTATAATTGATGCATAAAAGAAATTTTTTTTTCCTTTTTTCTTAACAATGTTGATGTTGGCAAGTCAATAGAGATGTTTTTCTTTTAGAAAAAAACCAAAAATAATCAATATATTATTGGATGAGTATGTCACCCCAAGGGGGGGGGGGGGGGGGGGGGGGGGGGGGGGGGGGGGGGGGGGGAGATGGGAAGTGAATTGGGTTTTAAATTTTTTATTAAAAGAAGGTAATTAAAATAATTTTAATGTTATTTAGCAAAGAATAAATAATCACACAATTTTTTAAAAAAATGATAAAAATATAGATGCAAGAAAAAAAATAGACACAATATTTTACGTGGTTTGGCCAAATTCCAATTTGACCTACATCAACACTAGCCAACTCTTGGCTAGAATCCACTAATCCTAAGTTTAACTTCCATACATCACTTCTTTTAATCAAAGAAGTTATCTACAACCTAAGTACTCTCCTACACATGCTACATATGTGCTTTGAAATTTTAGACCTTTTTTAGAGTGAGAAAGTCCAGTTTCTAGAGTGACTAAGTTTCCTTTTTTAAAAAAATTTTGATTTATGCCAATTTGGCGGATTTTTTAGTCATGGTTGCTACGGTAGTGGCAACCACCTCTGGTCGTCAGAATCTTTCTGGAGGGGCGTTGTCTTCTTCCAAAACCCTAGGTAGGTGGTTCTATGTCTAGGAATGATGATGTTCTCTCTCACCAAAGAATTGATTCGAATCCTTCCCTGGTAATAAGAGAACCTTCTTCGGTTCTATTCAAAGCCACTTCTCCTATTGTTGGCAAAGGTAATGGCAATGAAGTTGATAATGGTTTTACTTTTTAATCACCTTGTTCTGCTAAGGAGAAGTCAGTTGTGGATAGATCTAATGATTTTGAAGCATCTTCTTCTTCAGGTATGAAGATTTTTGTGAATAGGTTCAGTTGTTTAAATAACAAATCTGATATGATGTCCAAGGAGGAATTTCCTTTGAAGTTTGATTGTGATAAGTCTTCAGGGTTTTATTTTTTTATTTTTTTTTGAAGAAAATGCAACAAATTGCATTAATGGAAGAAAATAAAGAGCAAACTACGAGCTAAAGACAGATGATTCCTCCGTTAATAAAGACACAAATAAAGGAGGAATCTTGCAAGAACTAATATCATCCCAAATAAAAGAACTAATAAGGGCATAGTTAGCACATAAATCAGCTAACTTATTACCTCTTCTATCAATACTATTAAAAATTACATGATCAAACGTATTAATACCTTGAAATTTTTCAAAGAAGGAGGTACTTTTTGATTATTCTTCTTGATGAAACTTGACAATGTTATCATTGTCCCACTCTATAATTATTCCCTTAAACTTGAACATCCAATCCTTGATGACTTCCTTGATAGCATGAGTAGCCAATAACTCCATATAAGAGACATCCCAATGAGTTCCGGTCATTCCAAATGCCAGAGAAATCTGCCTATACAATCACAAAAAATACCTCCTATTCCAGATTTATAAGAAGAAAACAATGAGGCATCTATATTAACCTTGATCCAATTGGGTGGAGGAGGGTGCCAATGAAGATCACACAACCTAGACGGCTGATTAACACCCAATATACCCGAATTTCCACTATCACCATGAGCAGCAACTAAAGCATAGCTTAAGGCATTTGCAGCAATAGCCAAAGCCGTATCTTCAATCCCTTTATGAGTAAGTTTGTTTCTAGACTTCCAATTGAAGAAGATTAAGTTGCAGAATAAAGAAGCCAAGAAAGTTTTCTCATTAGAAAGCCAATTGTGACATTCTGATAGATTAGAGAAAATTGGGATAAAGAAACCCCATTTATTTAATAACCAAATAGCTTCCCGCAATTTACTGCATCTGACCACTATATGCTCTATATCTTCTCCTTCGTTGCAATCTCTAGGACATCCAATATCCCTATGCAACCTTCTATAAGCAAGGAATTTAAAAGTAGGCAATGCATCATGAAAAATCCTCCACCAAAACATTTCAACCCTTGGCATAAGTTTGATCTTCCCAATCCAGTTCAAATATTATTCTGTACATGAATCTTGTACCATAGCATCACAGACCATGGAAGATAAAGATTTTCCATTCCTTTGCATAATCAATTCCAATGAATCTCTATCCGTCTCAGTTTTTATACTAACTTGACAAACAAGTTTGATAAGTTTAGGACCCATAACTTACTTCAATTTTTCATAATTCCAGCCACCTTTTTCAATATAACTTTCAACCATTTTATCACCAATATCATTAGTGATGAAAGTTGTCCATTTGCTAAGGCTTTTATCCAAGATCCAGCAGTCATTTAACATATCAATTGATTTACCATCTGCAAGTGACCATCTCGAAATAGTCTTCAAAGAATTCCCTCCATCTGATACGATTTTTCAAGCAAAAGAATCGAATTTGTTTTCTGCACCGGTACCAAACAGATTACCATACTTTGTATAGAGAACCTTGTGAAGTAATGACTCTTTATCTTGAATATATTTCAAGCAATCTTAGCTCTAAAAGGACCAACCTTGTTAGCACAAGAATGGAGTCCTCTACCTCCCCATTTTAGAGGTAAGCACATGACCTCCCAGTTCATATAATGGATTCCATATTTCCCATTTGGTTTGATCCAAATAAAACTTCTACCAATTTTATCAACTTCATCAAGGATGCTTTTTGGAATCACTGAGTTGGTGCAATGGAAGATGGTATAAGAAAGTAACACAATTTTTACAATCATCACTTTGCCAGCCAAAGACATAAATTTACCTCCCCAAATTTTTGTTATTTTAAGAGCTTTTTCAATAATGAATTGGAAATCATTTCCAACCAATCTTCTAAGAGCTAGTTTTACACCAAGGTAATTTAGCTCCTTAACAACTTTGAACTTCAAGATCTGGGAAACCTGTTTCTTCTTTCTTCTATTTATATCCTTGCTAAAAAGAAGAGAAGATTTAGATCCATTAATTTTCTGGCCCATCCACTCAAAAAATCTTTCCAAAATTCCCTTTATCTCCTTGATGCTTTGTAGCTTTGTTTCAGAAAAAATAATAACATCATCTGCATACAGCATGTGAGAAATCCTTAAAATAACAAAGTTGTCTTAAAGCTTCTACGGGGAATTTTTCTTCAGGTTTTTGTCTTAATGCTTCTACAGGGAATTTGGATTTTAATTCTATAGACAAAGTTGTGCGTGATAGTGGTATAAATGGTGGAATTGGTGAGCCGATGGTTAAAGCTCCTATGAACTCCTCGGTTAAGTGCCCGAACATTAAGGTTAATTTTTCTAAGGATAAATTCTTCCTTATTGAAGATGGAGTGGGAGTCAAATTGCATCAACCTAGTGTAAAATTTAATTCAAAAATGATACAATTTTTTAAAGTTTTTAATATTTTTGGGAAGGGTATCCCTATTCAAGTGATTGCTAAGGAGCTGCATCATCAATGGACGTTGTTTGGGAAATTTCACCTCTATATTCTTGGAGTATGTTGGGTTTTAAGCTCATCCTTTTCGGTTGAAGCAATGGAGAAAGTTTTATCAGGTTGCCCTTGGTATGTTAATGACCATATTGCAAGCAATGACAAGTGGAATCTAAAATTTTCACCTATTTCATTGAAAGGAATATCATCCCCAATATGTATTAGGATGCCACATCTCCCATTACAATGTTGGGATGAGATTAATGCCACAAGGATTGCTTCTTGTTAATGATGGTTGCTATTTGCATGTTTTACATTCTTGCAACTTGTATAGTTTTGATGATTCCAAATATTATTGTTCTTTGTGTAGTTATCTCCTAACAATTTTTTAGAAGTTTTGTATTTGCTCTTGTGTGTACTAACATTTCAAGTGAATCAAACTCTCAAACATGAAGACTTCAAATCAAATTCAGCAAGAAATTCTTTTGAATTTTGAAGTTTAAAAATGTCATTTTAATTGAGAGGGAGTGATTGTAATTGAGTGAATAAAAACATACACACACACATAAGGAGATCATATAAATTTTGTACTGATCGTACTTGACGATATCAGTTCGTACGGGACGATCAGACAGTTATCTCCTATTAAGATCACATAGAACGAATAGGAACTGGATAGAAAAATTTTCTAAGTCCTATTCGTTTGGGACGAAATTAAATATCGTCCGGGATGATTTGATATCTGTAAGAATTTCGTCCAGATAAAATTAATTAGCGTACAAGATAAT